CCCTGGGAACATTCCAGGCCAGGTTGGACGGGGCTGTGAGCAACCTGATGTGGTTCAAGGTGTCCCTGCTCCTGCAGGGGGGTTGGGCTGGGTGACCTCTGGGGGTCCCTTCCCACCCAAAACATTTGATGATTCTATGATCTCTGCATCAAGCACTGCAAATGCAGTCCCCAACGTGAGGGCTCAAAGTATCGAAATTCCAATTTCCTTAAGTTGCCTGAAAAACCTCCCTCTCGATCACTGTACTGCTCTTGGCTGGGACACAGAGATGTGTCCACCATTAAACTGTGCAGCGCTGCTTGGATTGCTCTTCTGAAAAGTGATTATTTTGTATGACACGGGCTACAGCTGAGTTAGAACAGTACGAGCAAAATGCCTCAACACGGGCAATTTTGAGAGCTGTGCAGCCTCTCTTCCCTCTCCCAAGAGCACTGTTTATCTATACATGTGTATGTATACATTGTGCACGTGTGCACTTGCACCGTAAGAGCTGACAGAGAGGAATTATTCTGTGTTTCTATCACAATAACTACACTGCTGTAGCTCAGGTTGTGCCAAGCTCCACCTTCAAGAGAGAGCAGGATGCTTTGCTCCCCAGCAATCTCTGAGCACACGACACTCATGTGCACACAGTTAGGGCAGAAGGGCAAGCACACTGCAAATTCACAGCCTCTGTGTGTGTGTCCTAATGCCACCACGCTGGTACAATCCTGACAGCAAACACTTCCCTACCCCAGGCAATTCAAATGTAGGCAACGCGGGTGTGCCTGTTCCATATGCTTCCTTTTAGGACCCGAGAAACGTCAGTGGAATCACATAGAGAGCTTTAAAAAGAGCGACAGACGCCACAACGATTCCCGTTAATGTTCAGCATAAATCGATAAGATGGACGCTCAAGAAGCGCTGAGATGAATCATGGAAAGAACTGCTATGCTAAGACCAGAAAAATGACCCAACGCAGGCATTAACTCTCAGCTGAATTTGTCAATGCACTGTCTCCTACAAAGCACAAACTCATTCAACATATTAAAATACGATACCCTATCATGTAGCGTTTTACAAAGTCCCTATCCCCGCATTAGGAGACGGGGAATCTGTGGCAGAAAGCGGCAGATTGATCTGCCCAAAGCGTTTTGATACCACGGTAGCAGAGGCAGCGAAAGAATTTCATGCCAGATGTCTGGAGACATAACTGGGAACAGACCAAGAATCCCCATCTCCTGGCTGCCAGCAGCACGCCTTGATCAACAAAAACACTGGCCGGCGTCCTCCCTCACGTCCTCCCTCTGTCTGTGTATCTGGTGCGTCCGTGTGTCAGTGCACGCTCCCCCCGAGCTGACAGGCATACGTAGGCACGGTCTAAGCACGCTCGCCCATGTCTCCAGGCTAATGGCTGTGCACGAACTGTAGCGAGGGTTATTTGCTTAACAGATTCCCTTTTCTGTCCTCCATGCTCCTTTTCCTAAAATTAGCTGGTCGCAGGACCACAGACAGCATCCTTTTTGAGGACTGCGCTAGTGGAGAAGGGGGGAAAAAAAACCCACACACGCCGTAGGGAAGTGTTGGATCAAAATACTACGAGGCTGTGTTGCCAAACACAACACAATACGGTCTGCAAAACGAGGTGGAGGGAGAAAACGTGGCATTTACCTGACAGGAGATCTGTACAAGGTAGACCAGTTCCTTGGATTCGCAGCCGTTTCTCGTTACTTCATTCTGTTCCTCCGGGAGCGAAAGCTACACCAAGGGGAGGGGGTGGAGAAAAGAGGGAGAGAGAAAGACCAGGTCAGTGAGCAGGGCTAAGCCAGGCATGTAATAACGCACAACATTCACATCAACTTGCTCCAAGACATGCTGAGTATCAGGGAATCAGGGAAGCGCTCGTCTGTCTGGAGTTGTCAGATAGAAAATATTCTGCATTCATGGCTTACACTGAGCCTCGAATGCCATTGGATTTTGGCATCTCACCTGACAGTTTAAAAATAAAAAAAAATGGTTCAAAAATAAAGCAATCATAGGAAGGCAAACTGTTCAAGATGGGGATTAAACCTCTAGCTTAGATGTCTGCACAATTAATTGTTCCCTGAAAATAACTCTATAAATATTCATGTATCAGGTATCAGTGAATCCCCCTCCAATTTTATTCATTTTTTTTTTATTTTATACATTCAGGCGCACATTACATAATAAAACATATCTCCTCATTTCAGTGTTGCCAAGCAATTTACCACAACAGAGAGTTTTATGGCACCATTCATCACATACAGAGTCATTAAATACAACATCAGGATGTGCTTTTTTTTCCGGGTAGAGAGCAGAGATTTAACCACGTCATTCCTGGCCATGTACCGAGCGCCTTGACTAGTCCTGCTACTGCCGCTGGTCTTGAGATCCCAGACTTAAACTGGCTTACATGTAATGATCTTCTCCAAAAACAGAATCATAGAATCATTTAGGTTGGAAAAGCCCTTTAAGATCATCAAGCCCAACCGTTCCCCTACCCCTGCCATCCCACCCCCAAACCCTGTCCCTCAGCACCGCCTCTGCCCGGCTGTTAAATCCCCCCAGGGGTAGGGACTCGACCCCTTCCCTGGGCAGCCCATTCCAGAGCCTGACAGCCCTTGAAAAACCCAGAAATTACAAAGTGATCGTAAGCAAATGAAGACTGTTCACAAAGCAAATTAAAAATAAAAAATGGAAATATCTTCCAAAATGTTGTTTTATAAAAGAAAAAGAGATCCTTCTCCAGGAATAGAAACCCACGAAACAATCCCTCAAACACGGAACTCTCTGCGCACACACGGCCATCGTTGCTACCTTTCCTCCCTGTATGATGGACATTAAATTGTACGGTGAAAGCCCTGCCATACTTGCCAGAAGAATCATTCACTTTCTTTCTTAAGCAGAAATTATGCCAGCATAAAAATAGAAAGAGTCCAGGGATTTTTACACAAAGGTCTTTTGGAACAACACTTTCTCTCTTGGAAAATGCCTACATAAAAATTTAAGTCTGTAAAAAAATCGTAATTAGCTAAAGACCAAAAAAACCCCCACAACCAAGAGTGAATTTAACTTTGTGGTTTGCCGGTATCTCTCTCCCCCCTTGTAAGGAAGTTGCAGAGCAGACAAATTCAGCGCTCTTCCTTCACCAGCCCTAAGTTCCTGAATATCATTTCCGATGGTTGTATACATGATTGTAAATGACTAAAAAGATTTTCGGATCAAAGAAAGTCTTTGGATTGCCATAATTTATTATATCTTTACAACATCAAATGTATTTAGAGGAAGAGAGAGCATGTGTGCAAATGCTCACCACCCCCTCGTGCTGGTTATGCTGACAAAACTTCCTCCTGCTTTGTCCTTTCTGGCAAGCAAATGCACATTTTCCATCAAAGGATTTGTATCGGAAATCACGATCGCACCTTCAGTCTTCACTGTTGCCTACCAGCGTAGAGCAGTTTAAAATTGCACCCAACTGGGGACATCGAAGGGCCTTTCGCTGAGGCTGCTCTTTACCTAACCAGAAGGACGCAGAAGGTCTTAAAACACCATGCAAGCTCTTGAAGATGAAATCCACCTGGTGTCACCTCCACTTGGATGTCAAGGGGTCCCTTCCAACCCAAAACATTCGATGATTCTATGAGCCAAACGATGGGCAATGCTAATCAACCGAAGAGCAGCGAAGGCTTCCAAGAGCAGGAGGCCAGCTGAGGAAGCCATCAGGATCTCACAGCATCAAGCCACAAGACAAAGTTAAGCTATACGCCTCGTTTGCATATGGTTTTGCCCAAAAGAGCGGTGCTTGCTAGCCAAGACCTCACTGATCGTATACACAGGTAGGACTAGCTTAAAAATGTTCACGTGGTCTTCCCACTGTCTTAGAAAAAGCAGCTCATCTCTCGTAAGCTAGCAGATAAAGACAGTGATTACTGGAGCCTCCTGCGGAGGGTGATTTATTGGTTATTCCTCTTGCAGAGACAAACAACAAACTAAACGGAGGGTAAGTAAGGCACGTTCAGAAGTGTTATTCAAAAGCTCGGTCGTTTTACGGAGCACAATTCTGTGCCTTTATCTTCCAGAACAGGGGTTAACAAGAACAAAACAAACACTCTCATCTCTCCTCTCCAAAGTGGCTTTGGAAGCTCCCTTCTGCTTTCCCTCCAAGAATAATCCTCGCATCAAACTCTGGCAGATCTGTGCTCGGAGCAAAGCAGCAGGCATTTTAAAGACTCATTTGTTTGTCTGGAGCTCCACAATTTCAAGCCTACCACGAACCTGTCAGGAAGGCGCGTGGGACCTGCCACATTCCCCGCACAGAGATCCAAAAAGCGAAGGCTAGCGACAGCAGAGGGGGCTTTAATTAGAGCAGGGGCACCTTTTAAGTGGCCCTGTTTCACTTGTCAGCGTGACCATGGGCAGAAAAATAAGGCAAGCCACAACTTTTGAGATTCATACGTTTTTATGCGATGTATGCTCCTCTCATGAACTACCAGAACTTTAAAAAAAAAATCATCTCAAGGAAAAGCACTACGTAAATCTGTTGCCAAGACTAGCATTGTTGGCTACTAAAAGTGCCACATCCTCACCAGGTAAGAGCTGGCTTTGCTCTGCAAGGTCAATGGGGCTGTGTCTGCTCCTCCTAGCCATGCCTCTGACTCCCAGATGGCAAACTAAGCTCATTTAGGCAGCTTTGGCTTTAATTTCCTTGTTTGCCAAGTGATGGCATCACCACCTCTCCCGAAGAAAGGCTAATCTGGGCGATGTCCGCGGAGCAGAAATTTGATTTGTCTACAAAACTTAACTTAGTTCAACTTCTGCTTCATAAAGCCATGAACTCTTGATCTCGCTCGCATATCTCAGTGAGCGAGTATGTAGTTGGCGGAGAGGCAGCACGCAGAGCAGCATGTACTTAAAGAAAAGGTTACAAGAGCTTTGGCAAATCTATCCTACGCAGTTGATAACTCACACCTCGTGTTTGATTTAGTGTCACTGTAAGGACATAATCGACACAATATTAAGCCACAGGGAGCAATTACTGGCTTTTCCAGCAAAATGTAAGCGCGATCACACATATCTGTTACCAAGCCTGAGCCATCAGACACATGTCTGGCATGTCATACCCAGATGCCAGGTTTAGACTGGCTATAAGGAAGAAATTATTTACAATGAGGGCGGTGAAACCCTGGCAGGGGTTGCCCAGAGAGGGGGTGGAGGCCCCATCCCTGGGAACATTCCAGGCCAGGTTGGACGGGGCTGTGAGCAACCTGATGTGGTTCAAGGTGTCCCTGCTCCTGCAGGGGAGTTGGGCTGGGTGACCTTCCAGCTCAAACCATTCAATGATTCTATATGATTCTATGCCGACAGAACCGTGCCCAACCCTGAGTAGCAGGTACATCTACTGAGGTGTTCCTCAACGTACTGTCCCGCCCATCATTTGGTCTGAGCTGCATATGTGAAGTGCAATACATGCATTATCACCGTAAAACCTGCTGTGAAGCAACGGACACGCTGCACCTACCTGTGCATAACGTAATGCAAATGCACGGTCCCATCATTGAAAAACGTGTTTCGTGGCCAGTCAAAGTAATTAAGTGCATAAAATGAATACGGCTGCTCTCTGCGGATTAAGAGAAACTGCAGTACTTCATAATATTAAAATTATTAGAAGTTTGCTAAGAAGCGTAAGGAACTTAAGCCTCATTCGCAGACTCAACCCTTTCTCTTTACGCCGCAGCCCGTCCATCCGCGACCCCGCACAACCGACTGGCGGCATCGGGCTCAGTGGTCCCAGCAGGAGGCAGAGCCCTCGGGAGGTTCGAGCTCCCCAGCACGGCAGGATGTGATGGGGCAGACGGCGATGAATCAGCCTCACGGGCAAGCATAAACTTCAGCAGGTTTCATCTCAAACACAGCACACATCATCTGTAGGGATCTCAGGGAGAGAAGAGATGGCAAGTATGCCGACAAAGCGGCTTTCGCCAGGAGTTTTAAGTCAGTGGAAAGGCTGATGCTGTTCCTGGCAGAGGATGTGTCATTGTTCCAAGGAAACCTGGTAAACTTTTTACGTTTTTCCGAGATGGAATTTAAGGTTAACTCCCTGGCAAACGCAGCCAGACACATGCAACAGAAATTTCTGCCGCTCATACTCAGCCACAGCAAAAGCTCATTACATTTCCAAACCACTGTTAAATCTGATAATTTTTTCTGACAGTATTAGGAATGGCCTTGCTTTTTCTAAACCACCACACTTCTAATGTCTCCTTGATGTCTGTCCCCTCGTTGATTTACGATGTTTGTACAATTTAGCAAATCAGACGAGGGAAAAACCACAGGACAAGCGCCACCTTTATGCATCGCTTTGGAATGTGTGCATCGGGTGAAAAGTATGTCTGACGGTCAAGAGTGAGAAATACGATGCTAATTTTCCTGTGAAATATTTCTCTGTTTTATTAAAAGAAAAAAATTTCTAGAGCCCAAATATGCTTGGGACAAATCCTGAAGAAATTAAAAGCCTTAACACTGATCAAATTCAGAGATGCAGACTCATTATAAGGAAAAGCTTTTATCACCTCTCTCCGCTCCAGTCCCCAACAGACAAGACTGTCACTATCTCCTAAATTACCCTGGTGATTTGCACACACCTTCATTTAGCCGAGTCCATTACTTACTTCAGTCGGTCTTGCAATGGGGCACCTTCAAGACCGTTTTTTTGACATATTGGAAGCTATTGTTTTATT